GAGCAAAGACTAATTATAGGGTTGTGGAAGCCACGACATTAGATTAATGTGACTTTGACAATTACTTTAATTATGAGTGTTCGTTGGATCAGGTTTACCTGATGACTGAACTCAACCCAATTAGATTTGGTTGGGTTTCACTTATGATTGAGTCAAACTTGACACAATCCAAACTAACCCACTCTTACACAGGTTGGATCGTGCATTTAGTATGGATGACCCAATACCAAAACCAAAACCCGCACTTATACTTGTGCAATGAACAAATTGTCTTATGTTTTCTTTTCATGTTTTAAATTAGTATGGACAAAACTTGCTATGATTAGACTTATTGTTTTACTTGAAGTCTTGGATTAAATTTTGTAAAGATTGTGTTATTTTTTAATTAGGTTGATACTTTAAAAAAATTACTTTTTTTTAAAATCTTGACCTAATTGACAAACCCAATCCAAACCACTCATGAGTGGTTGGATTGGATTGGCTTTAACATAAAAAATGCAGAAACCCAACATTGATAGTATTTTGGTGGGTTGGATAATGGGTTTACTCAAATGCTAACCAACCCAACCCACAAACACCCGTAACTTTATCTATTAAAGTTTGGGCATGCCAATGATGAATTTGATTTGTAATATCCAAAGGCTCTATGTGTTGCTTTTAATCCAATCTTTTGCTAGAGAACTAAATATAGAGAAATCAATTGTTATTTAGTGAAAAATGAGACCTTGGAAGTGAAATTACAATTGACTCTCAATTTAGTTAAAAGTTCATATCTTCATCAAATTCCTCAAGGGTTGCAAGGATGCATATATTTCTAACCTTAAAAGTACACATAATACAAACATCCCATGTTTAATTAGACTTCAACACATGTAACATATCGGTACAAGAACTCATTATTGTACCCCACTTATGCAATTATAAATGCAACAGTATGTAGCCTACATTAGACATATTCTCATAAAATCTAATAAAATAACTAAGTACTTTTAACAAAAATCAACCTTGCCAATGACCAAGAGAAACATTGCAGATAGAAGGGATGGGAAAACCTTGAACATGCCACAAACTATAGAGAATATTGACCGAAGTGGTACGTTAAATAATGATGTTCACAAAGGCATGGGTTTAAATGATGGAACAAAGAAATATTGATGATTAAGCAAAATAAGATTATTATCTTACTGATATCAGAATTTCTGTTAACAATAGCAAAATTCATGGTTCAAGGGTAACAAAAATATGCCATCCATGAAGATAAGAAGCTGAAATCAACAACAAAACTATGATAAAGAGAATAAAAAAACAACACATCACGTTGCTAGGGGACTTAAACTAGCAGTTATTAAAATTTTCTCTATAGTCAATGATTAGTATAACACAAATTCTTGATGAAGCAAAAAAAAATGAATGTTAATATTAACAAATGGGACTTTAAAAGACCCTTTTTTACAAATTGAAGCTTCTAAACTCTAGTCTCTTGAAATGTTAAGAACTTGCTAAACAACTACACAAAGGATTTATGTTAAGAAGTGGACCTTAAGTCTAACTCAACCCTACAAAATCGGCTTGTAAAATTAGGTTTTCACCCACTTATATACTATAAATTGACCTTATCTCTAGTTAATGTGAGACTTCCAACATACCCACTTACGCCAAGGTATATATATTCGAACGTGATACTAGACATTAATGGATTGTCCGATAGGAATCTGATAGCGGGTGAAATAATATGTCCAACAAACAATAAATCTCACTAGGATAGACTCTAACAATGACTCTGATACCATGTTAAATTTAGAAGGGAAGAATTTCTTTATTTCTCATTCACAATTATTAGGTCAGTTGACCTATATATTTATACATGTGTTATGAGATAAAAACATAAACTAAAAAATAAAACACTAAAAAATCCTAGAGAGAATAAATTCGTATAATTATGGGATTTTAATCTTGTAATATTAAATTTAACAAAACAAACAAAATGAAAGATAAATATAAATTTCCCTAAATAAAGCCCTAAATTCACTGCGTGCTTCTTGACACTCCCCCCTCAAGCTGCAGCTTCGATACGATTCCTTCAAATGTGATACTATTTAGACCTTTAGTAAGAATATCTGCATGTTGAGCTATACTAATGGCAGATTTACTGTCATAGTATAGCTTCATAAGTTTTTACCATCTTATCTTCAAATCATCTAATATAATCTTTAGCCATAGAATTTCACATATTCCTTGGGCCATGGCTCTAAATTCTGCTTCAGCACTTGATCTAGCCACTGCATTTTGTTTCTTGCTTTTCCAACTCACCAAATTTCCACCAAGAAATGTGCAGCATCCTGTGGTTGATCTTCTGTGCACAATTGACCCAGCATAGTCTGCATCCATATATGATTCGATACTTAGACTCTTGTTTCTCTTGAAAAATATCCCTTTCCCTAGAGTACCTTTTAAGTACTGAATAATTCTAAAGACAACGAATAGTTGGGACAGACTTTGGTGGCCTTTAATACCATTCTAAGAAGTAGACTTTAAGCTTAACTCAATCTTATAAGACTAACTTGTAAGGTAAGGTTTGCACTCACTTCTATACTATAAATTCATCTCATTTCTAGTCGATTTGGGATCTCCAACAATTCCCTTGAACAATATACTAAGGATTTTTTATGAAGGTTCTATTAGTTTTATTTATCAGTGAATTTTTCATAATTCAATATCCATTCAATACAAGTTTTCCTTCATCACTCTTCACTAATCGTTTCTTATATTTAAAACCTATAAGGAGTGGAATTGGAACTCTACACTCATAGTAGCTTGTAACCTTTAGATGCATATTGTAATCTAGTTGGGAATAAAATCCATAGCTAATAGTTGGTATCTGCGATTATTTATTTATTACCCTCTGGTAACATATATTTTAATACCCATTTATAAATGGGTTGAGTGTGAGTATCATACTACTCGTATTGTGGGTATCCATTACCCACAAAAAATTAAAATTAAAATTTAATTTATATTTTATTAAGTTAAATTTAATTAAAATTAAAACAAATTTATAATTCATTAGGTTTTTAATTAAAATTAAATTTTAATTTACATTTTATATTTTTTAGTAATTTTATTTATATTTTATTTTAAAAATTTATAAAATATCTTATTTTAAATATCCAAGTATCCATGGATTATCTGCGGGTTTTAAAATACTCGTGGGTTTTTTTAAAACGGTATCTGACGAGTAACGGGACAGGTAACGAGTTGATTAATTTGTTGTGGGTCGGGTAGCGAATAGGCACTATTTGTGCCTGACCCGACCCGTTGTCATTCCTACAAGTCACCTGCTATAAGACCACTATCGAACCACTTATATATGTCTAGTCTCATGCTTAAGATGTATATGTCACACATGGACTAAAGATAAAGTGAATTTACAATATATAAGTAGACATAAACTTCATCTTACAAGTCAATTGAGATAGGCTTAAAGTCTCCCCTTCTTAAGAAAGATTAATGTTTGTGAAGAATAGCGATGCTTCTAGGGGCATGAAGATCGAGAAGAAATTATTTGAACTCTTGTAATCACAGATAAAAGATGAGAAGTTCAACTCTACTAACCATTACATGTAACAATCTATTTTCTGAACCCAAGTTCTTGTACAAAAGTCAAAGAATGGGTCTTAATTCTAAAGCAATGCAAGGCATTAATGGTTTTATTCAAATGCTTGCTAAAACCAAAGAAATGCTTGCTAAAGTCAAAGTGAGTTATTCAACAACAAAGAGGCCAAAAGGTCTTTTTGGGTTGAAACTGCCAACTCTAATTGCTATATCAAAAGATTGTTTATACTTGTATATCTTGTACATACATTAACTCTTATATATAATGAAAAAGAGATACAATAGCAAGGAACAAAATCAATAACTAATATAGGGAAATATTTGCTAAAATATTTCCCAATTTGATGCAATCAAATCATATCTTTAACACTCTTCCTCAAGCATTTTAGAAATGTCGTTAACACAACATTCCTTGAGACTTCATGAACATTTTAGTTAGTTGGTTGCTAGAGCTGAACAATGACACAGTTTCACACATCGATTTGGTGTGCGTGTGTGAAAATGTAATCTCTAGGAACTAGCTAAGTTCCAAGCATCAATTTGGTGCAAATGTGTAACACGCAAAGAAATTAGGCGCACATGGTGGCAGTAGGCCATGAGTCAAGCAACATAGTGGTTGCAAAGAAGGGCAGCTTGATTGTGAGGCTGGGTCATAGGTTTTGGTATACTACCAAAGAATGCTTAAGGACATAACTTTTGTTCAAGAGAAAATAATGTTCGGAGAGCACGATGACTATTGGAGAGCAAATGTACTTTCAGAGCTTGAAGACTACCAAAAAGAAAATATTCTCAAAGAGCACGACAACTACCATATAGCAAAAATGTAGCAGTGGGTGTTGTGTCAGGGCAAATGCTTATAGAGAAAAAAGTCAACAAACCATTCACAAAATAGGTCAAGGAAGATGGTACCATTTTGAAAACATCTTCAAAGGATTGTTTGTAATTGTATACCCAGTACACGCTTGAGGATTCTAACTATAATGAAGAAAAGATATTTGGTAGTACACGAGTGAGTAATCATACTATAGCTTTTTTCGAGCCGGCCAATACCCACCGTCATTTAGGATTTAAAGCACTGAACTATTAAGTACTGGACATCAACACATTTACAATAATTTCGAGATTTCAGACATGAAAACGATAAAAAAAATAAAGCATCCCATCAGTCTTTCCAAGTTGCTGCTAAAGATCTTGAAATGCTTGAAAATTAGACCAACTGCTATTAAACAATTAAATGTAATCATGTAAATTAAGGAAAATAAGATATCCTCATAAACCATGCAATTCATGCAAGTTTACTCTAGAATGGAACAAACAAGAGAAGGCACGGATAAAAAGATGCATAAATATTTTGAAGAAAATTCAAAACCAAAACATTCCAAATCAACCTTCTTTATGAAAAATAGAGCCTCAGACAGAACTTTTCATGAACTACGACCAGGCAATTGATCAGGAACTGTACAAAAAAGTGTTTTGGCTTGCATATCAAGATTTGCCATATTTGTTGACATATCCCTGCAAATCAAAGATATTTCTATTAAATGAAGAACATCACAATGAAACAATAATATCCATGTACATACATATTGGAAAATCACTATAACTGCAAGAAAAGAAAAGAGGCTTACATTGACCAGCTTTGCAATTTTTGCCCGACTTGAAGAAACATATTGCTTGGCAGTATCTATGGTAGCAATCTGATGGGGCTCTATGGTGCTAACAACCTTGTCAACTGATTTTCTGACTATCATAATATGTGCATCCTTGCTAAGACGACCCTCATGCCAAACTGGTTTTAACAACTCTTTTACATGATCAACAAGAGCTGCACGTAACATTTTTAGTGCCTTTGGTTCCTTCTGCATGGTGCCATCCATCTGAAAGTCAACATCTATTTCATGATTTTTCTTATCCCTGTCTCCTCTCTTTGTTTTGTGCCCTGATCCTTCACCATGTCGTCTAGCATCATGCTCAGTCATTTCTCTCTCCTTTTTTGTACTATCTGCAACACCTAAGGTATTTTGTCCCGTGCCAATTTTACCATTTTGATAGTTTACACAAGTTCCTGACGTTATCTCTGTTTCAGTATTCTTTTCATGAGGAACAGAGTTTTTGTTTGGCTCATTTTCATAAAGTTTATTATGAGAAGATACAGAACTTTTGTCATCATTAACACTGGACGTGTATTTCCCAATCACAGCAGAATCACCATAAATCGGAGCCTGTGATGAAGCCAGTACGTTAGATCCTTGAATTAAAAGGGAAGCCTTCAAAGACCCATCCCCTATATTAGGTATCTCAATGCTATCGCGAAGAGGATCATAAAGATCTCCAGGAGATGATACATTCATGGGAGTAATAAAAAAGGAAGGCCGGAAGGGCACAGAAGGTTCCCAATCATAAGAACAGAGTTTTGATTTATATCCAGTGGGATAAGATGGAACGCTGGAAGAACTAACTAGACGAAAATCCTCCCGCCCTGAACCAGAGAAAGTGGACTTAAATGTGAGATATTCTTTATCAGTGCTCAAAATCTTTTGGGTACCAGCCCCCAAAGATGAACTAAAAGGCAATGAGCATGCTGATTGAGAAGAAATCCGGTGAGAGAGTGACATACTTGAAGATGGAAATTGAGTAACCAGGCTTGAATTTGGTGAATGGTTCAAAAGAGTGGAAGCATGTCCTTTGTATATATGTTGGTTCCGAAGAGTAGTCATTCCATCCTGATTTAGGTTGAAATAATTGCTTGTTGAACTAAATGCAAATCTATTCTCTGGAAACAAGTTGTCCCTCAGCGTAAAGTTCTGTTTTTCTTGAGATGGATGCCAACTAGGAGTTTGTTCTTGCTCATTCTGCGTGCTCATATTTAAAGGAAATTCAGAAGAATGCAAAGATATGCTATCAAGTTAAGTATTAAATGAATCTAGAGTGCTAACCATCCTTATTCTCTGAACATTGTCCTTAACACCTGTTCCAGTACAATACCTTCGTTAGAAATATGATTACAGAACAAATTTCCTGAATAACTTGACCAAACGAGTTATATGATATACCTTCTTCCACTTTCAATTTTCTCTTCTGATGAGCAGTAACTAAGTCAGCTTCAGCCTCCTGATCTGTCTTATCCACAGTATCTTTTATATGAAGAAAGCTACAAGAACTACCTCTGATACACCATCCTTTAGCAAAAAAATCACATATAATTTTTGGTCGTTTGTTTGTGTTTTTAATCTCAGCACTGGGAGACATACTTCTAGTCCTGCTATTAGGAGGAGTTATCAGTAAAACCTAATGGTTAGCATGTGGACCAATTTAAACACACTGGAAAAAGACAGAAAACTACTTTCAGAAGAGACATCATCCTGAATGAATTGAAGTTTGGTAATATTACAATGTAAAAGAGCATACTGAACTAAAATGACCAGACCTTGACAGTGTTTGCTTCATATCATCCCTTGACTCCTCCCTCTCTAACTGCTTGATATTGTTCCTAGAACTCTGACCACCACTAGCATCCTCAACAATACAATCTTTTGGAAGCAGGCAATTGACCATAACTTGTCCAGTATCACTAGATGACTTGGTGGCCCTGACCCTGGAATCAATATCATTATCATCACATAAATTAGCCTTGCTATTGCAACCTAACTCACTGTATCCACCCTGTGTTTCCTTCTGTAGAAGGGATCCAGCATTTTCAACATCAACTTCTAGTCCTTGACTTCTACAATTTTCAACATTAGTCAGATTTTCTCTAGATTTCGAATGACTTGAAATGTCATATTTCAGGTGAAGCTCTTCCTTTCTCAATGTCAGTATCTCACATGAAGGAACAGATATTTTGAGCATGGCATCAGTCTCTTCCATGCAATGCACACTAGATGGTGGAATTACTTCAGGGTTTTCAGCCACAGAATAATCTGGCCCCAAGTTTTTGTCTTGTTCCTTAGACTCCATTTGTAGGCTCAAATCTAGAATGGAAGATAAAAAGTTAAATCAAAAAATGCATAGAGGAAAAGAAAGGAAACAAAATATACTGCGCGATTCAAGAGTGCCCAGACTCCCAAAAAACCCAGGACTATTCACACTCCATAACTTGGCCCAAATTTAGAATCGACAATAAAAAGTAAATCAAGAATATGAGGCATAAAGAAAAAGAAATGAAGAAATATTCTGGACAATTTAAGACTGCCGATTTTTCTCTTGAAAATCCCAGCCCTGTCCACCCTGTGCTCTCCTCTAAAAAGGTGATAAACCCGTTACAACAGAATCCCCTCTCTGATTCTACCCAATGCCAACTCGGCAGGTAGTTACCACATTTCTCTTGAAAATGATCCATGCATTGACATTCTTTCTTTCTTTCTCATGCATAGACCTTAGTTATTTTGGGATTCCTATTTAGTGAAACTGAACTAATTTTGATAGGAATTTATGGACAGAGATAAGGCTAATTTAAAGTATATAAGTGGATGCAAATCTCATCTTACAAACCAGTTTTGTGGGATTGAGTTAGGTTTAAAGTCCACTTCTTAACTTGGAATCAGCTCATTTTGAGAGTCTATCCTAGTGGAATTTGTTATTTGTTGGACATATTGTTTCACCTACTATCAGACCATCCATTAATGTCTAGTCTCATACATAATATGTATATATCTCAGCATGAGGGAGGTGTGTTGGAAGTCTTACATTGACTAAAGATAAATCTAATTTAGAATATATAAGTGAGTGCAAAAATCAACTTACAAATCGGTTTTGTGGGGTTGAATTAAACTGAAAGTCAACTTCTTAACAAGAATTAGCCCATTGGATGATTGGGTATGGCTGAGAAATTCATTAAAATCCCAAATACCAAACCAGAATTCTAAGTGTCACTAGATTTTGTGTATTGAAGGAGCAGTGGTGCACTGGTTCAAAAACTTGAGGAAGGGTGTGTCCAAATTAATGACATAGAAAACCTGAAAATTGAGTGGTTGAAAAGATTTCCCTGAAGTGGTGTGTCGCAAACCCATTATAAGCACCTTGCACCAAAACGTTGTTGGCTTGAAGATTATGTTTAAGAGAGTTTGAGATGTTGCTAGCACAACACCAGGAATTTCTGAAGAACAAGCATTGGGTTAGTTCGTGAGAAGCTTGAGTGAGGGTTTTTTTAGAAACATCACACTCAATACAGCTATAAAGTACCAGCCATTAGCTCAGCAAGATTAATAGAAGAGTAACTAATAACTATAACAGATCTCTGATGTTTGGCCAAATTGGGCAGTTTGTGGAGCAGTTATTGAATGGCAGGTCAAGCATTCTAATCAAGGTTATCAAATTTAAGAATTTACGTAAACTCGTAAGAGGCGAGTAAACTCTTAAGAGTCGAGTAAACTCGACTCGTAAACACGTAAGAGTTTACTTACAGATGAAAAAGAATTATATAAATAATATCTTAATTCAAACAAGTCTACAAAATTATATAACTTTAAATAAATAAAATTTATAGTTATATTATTCATAAAAATAAATATTGTAAAACATAAATACTTGAATTATTGTCATTAATTTTGATGCACTTCATTAAATATATAACTTTCAAGCTCGCAGAATCACTCCAAACTCGCAATTTTACACGATCCTTCTGATTTCATAGTTGAATCTATCAAGTTTACGCAGAAAACGAGTTTACTTCCGAGTTAACTCGAAAGCCATGTCTGGGAACGTAAGCTGAGTTTACGAGTTAACTCAGAGAGTTTGATAACCATGATTCTAGTTATGGGTACAATTCCAATAATGGGTTCAAATCAATTGGCAGGTCAAGCATTCTAATACCACACTTCTCTGTGACACCCACAGCGTCACCAACACCCACCCACACTCAGCAGTATTTCCAGTGGCACCCACCTATGTTCTGAAATTTAGTAATTCTTCCAAGTTTTAAGAATTTACGTCTCTATTCTACGTACAAAATTTCAGAATCGCAGTCATCCTCCGTGATATCCAATTAGAGAAGTTTTAGGGTAGGCTGCAATGCGCTTCTATCCTACCACTAAAAGTGTCTTTAGGGCCGACTGCAATGCGCTATTATAGATTAATAACCACGTCATATACAATTATAGATAACCATGCCACTAAAATTGATCCACGATCACTAGGTTTTTATCATCAGCAGCAAATCCTTCCTCCCTAGTTCCGCCATTTCCTCCTCTCCCCATCCCCAAACAAACAGTTCAATAAGAATGGAATGACAAAGTAAAAGAGAAACATCAATATGGAATTTGATATGTAAACACACAAAAAGTCAAAAACCACATAAACTCAATGCAACATGTGAGACGGTACCACAGAGAGCAAAGAGCAACACGGCATCAAACGAAGTTACAGAAATATTATTAGGGAAAAAAGAAGCGTGTAATTCATTTGTGTAGCGGATAAAAATAAGAATGACAATGACGACTAATTTATGAACTGGAAAACCTTTCCAATCCTTACCAGCATCGGATGGAGAACCTGTCACCGCCAATCTGTCCTCCCTTACTGCTTCTTTTTGTTGTCCCTCTTTCTCTTTTATTGCTTCTTGTTTCAATTGTTGTTCTTTCTTCTTCTCCTCCATAGCTTTTTCTTGTTGCTGTTCTTGCTCTTTCTTCTTCTCCTCCACTGCTTCTTCTTGTTGCTGTCGTTGCTCTTCCTTCTTCTCCTTCGCTGCTGCTTCTTGTTGTTGTGGTTGCTCTTCCTTCTTCTCCTCCACTGCTTCTTTTTGTTTCTGTTGTTGGTCTTCTTTATTATCCTCCAGTGCTTCTTGTTCTTGTTTCTCTTCTTCTCCTTCATCCTCTTGGACTTCTTCCTCCCCTTCTTCTAATTCTTGTTCTCCCTCTTCCTCTTCTTCTACCTCAACTTCTACTTCTTCTTCTTCTTCTTCTCCCTCTATCTCTTCTTCCTCTACCTCCACTTCCTCTACTTCTTGTTCTCCCTCTCCCTCTTCGTCTTCCTCTTCTTCTAACTCCGTCTCTTCCACTTCCTCTTCCTCCTCTACTTCCTCGACCTCTTCCTCATCTACTTCCTCGACCTCTTCCTCATCTACTTCCTCGACCTCTTCCTCCTCTACCTCTTCTTCAAAATCTTCCTCCTCTACTTCTTCCTCAATCTCCTCCTCTTCCACTTCTTCAGCTTCGTCCTCCTCCTCTGTTTCTTCTTCGACTTCTTCCTCTTCTTCGGATGGATCGGTCTCGATATCATCGGGCACAGGAGAGTCAGGGAGAGACATTGGATTGGATTTGAACGTGCAGAGAGAAAAATTAATGAGAAGAAAACCCCTAATTCGATCGAATAGGGAATCAAGCAGGGGTGGAGAGACACACACAAAAACCCAAACTCACGATGATAAATGACAACGCAACGTTAAGGAACACACACGACACGACAATGGTTCAGGAATGCTTCGCTGACGTGTACGCCAGAGTCCTGCTACCAGAGGTGCATCCCACTCACCGCCACGTCTTTTCTCCGACGTGTCGCTCCGATAACCCTAGTCCCTTCCTTTCTCCAGTAAAAACCCAATTTCATATGTACCTTTCTCAAAAAGTTTTGGGCCTAACACACCGCAAACATTTAACAATAAAATTTTTTACTCGTAATTTAAGTAAAAGTCCATTCTGTGGATGATTTATTATATATAGAATTTTGTTTTCTAGTTTAAAATGGGATGGTAAAATGTATGTTAATATGTTTTTCTTAACTTTCTATTCCACTAATTTAATCAGATGAAATAATATTGTTAGTTGTTGGTGTTTTTTTACCTAATTGTATTGGAGATTGCATAATTAGATATAAGTAATTCGTTATAAGTAATTTCAACTTAACCTTTTCGTTACTATTAATTTGATGATATGAAATTAAATATTTAATTGTTAGCATGATTAAAGGAATAACCATGATTGCAAGAGAATAGGAGAGCATGCATTCTTCACCCGTGCATCCAGCAAATTATAATTCTAAAATGTTTCCTCAAAAATACTTATTCAATAATAAGAAAAAAAAATAGTTTGACACATATTTTTTTAACAATGTTTTGACATAATACACATGTTACCATTTTTACTAGTTGATTATTTATTTGTTACTATATTGATATGTTTTAAACCCAATAAAAATGTGACATGTAAAAATGTTTTCAAAAATCCTATATTAATCTATCGTTTCCTCAAGAATAAACAGTAGTTTCTTTTTCAAGTCTATATTTTTTAATGACCTTTCAATTTAATTAAATTTTCGTTGAAATTTAAATCCTTTATTGGTTTTTATGTTTGTTTGAAAATCTAAATCATTAAATTTTAATCGGTCTCAATTTTATTTGTATTTTTTAAAATACGATGAATTTGATTATTTAGGTTAGTATAATACTAAATATGTTAACTTATCTGTCCCGTGTTAATTTATTTATGATTTTTTAAAAATTTTAATTTTTAAATTTTTTGAATTAATTAATTAAATATATTTCAAAATAGACTAAAATAATTATTACTTTTTATATGTTAAATTATTTTATAATAATTAATTTTAAAATTGTAAGTATTAATACATTACTATTATACGTGTACATCATTCAAATAATACAATACATCACCATTTTAAAAAGTAATAATAATTTAAAGAATAAATTGATAGACCAACCTTTATTCCGGTCTTTAGCCTCTAAAAAAACCATTGAATTAAAAATTCAACCCAAATTATTAAATTTGAACGAATTAATAAACCGATCATTGGAACAAATTCCACTCTTCAAACTCTGTTGAATATGCAGGCTCATCGAACTAATAAATATGTGGTTAAACTCGTGATTAAACCCCCTTCTGCCCTATTTTAATGGATTTTCCGATTAGATCCTCGTTGTCAATTTAGTCTTTTTTAACAAAAAAATTGACTTGAATGAACCTCTGCAGTTAAATTGGCTTCACATAATTAAATTTTTTATGACCTAGAATGTTTACGTGACCAGTTTTTTAAACATGACATTCATCTATCTTTAGACGTGACATTTTATAAAAGAAACATTTTAAAAATAGGGTTTCTGAAATAAGAATTACGGTTCGTTAAAATTTTAATTGGGATTAAAATTAGGATTACCGATCTGAAGCAGAGTTAGGGTCTAATGATCTGATGATCGAGATCTTAGCTAGGATTAAGGTTAGTAACCCTTGCAACCAAGGGGCGTGTGCAGGCGATGGAAATCGTTGGTGATGGTCCCCAATTCGTGAAGAAGCACCTCCATAAATCGTTCTCAGACATCACAAATCTCGCCTCCAAAGCGATGGAGGACAACAAAGCAAGTGCAAGCTCCTCCTCGTTCAACTGCCTCAACCCATTGCTCAGTCTCTTCAACCCATGCACATTTACTTCCAACACCCAACCAGGTGTGCAATCTATCATCAAACTCACAAAACCTGACACATGTGGGTACCCAAAACCTTCGGACGTCGCTTTGAAGCTAAGGATGTCGAATCAACTCCCCAAGCAAAGACACCACAGAGAACTGCAAAATAAGCAAGTGTAGCGAGTGCATCCCCCTGATATCCAAACTAAAGAGGCCCCAAGGCCAGCAACAAGCTTCACCCTGGTCATTGATGCAGCGAGTGAAGCTTGTCCATATCTTATGCCATTTTTGGTTGCTTTCAACTTTTCCAATCGCTCCCTGAGTAACCCACTGCATACAATTTCCCTCACAGAGATGAAAACAATTTCTTATATTATTCACGATTGCAATTCTTAATAGTCAAGAAATGAAAATTTCGGGATTTCGGGTTTCTAGAATTATGAAATGGGAATTTAGGTTTTTTTGTTATCTTAAAATTAAGATTTTTGGTTTGGGAATTCTTTTTAGGAACTCTGATCTTGTTTCTCAAATTATCTTTGAGGTTCGAATTCTGGTTTGGGAAATCTTGTTTCTTGATCTAAGTGCGTTTTTGCTTGGGGTTTGGGATTATTTGTGGTGGTTTCCACCTTTAAAGTGGCCGACAGTGGCGGACACTGTTTCAAACTCGTTTAGTGGCTTTAGTTTCCTTGCTTGGTTGTGGAGAGGAGTCACGGTGGCCCACCAATGCCAAAGTTGGTTCAGATTTTAAAAATAAGATAAATAGAATTTAAAAATAATATTTTAAGTGCTGGTCATTAATACAAATAAAATGTTAAAGGTTGGCTAATTCCACGTATAAAGTTATATGAATGCCACGTGTAAAAAATAAATCAGTCAACGTCCCAACTCATTAAAAACTTAACTCCGTTAAGCCAATTTAACGGCAGATGTTCATTTAAGTCAATTTTTCTATTAAAAGGGACTAAATTAGCAAAATCGATAAGACGTGATCTAACTGGGAAAAATCCACATAAATAGGGACTTTAACGTGTTAACATGTAAACATGTCATCTTATTAAAACAACAATTTAAAGGTTAAACAAACATTAACAACTAACTACATGTCTGATCGTTTAAAACGGTATAAATATTTGATTAAAAGTAGTAAAAAATTAAACAATTTTACACAAACTTTAATAATTAATGTAGCTAGATATATATGTCGAGAGAGATGATATTTTCATTATTTATAAATGCTTTAATATAATATGTTTTGAAAATGAGTTGGACATCACTGGAAGACATTATATTAATTAGTGATTTGGTGAAATATTATTAATCAAAATAAAATTCATCAACATTTTTTATGACCATTAGCTTATATTCTAACTTATACAAATTAAATATATCTATAGATTAAGTTGTGAAGAGAAATAAATAAAAGTAAACTCATATTTCAACCAAGTTTTAGGTTAAAATATATATTATTTATACAAAATTAAATTATTCACCACATTATTGTAACTATTATATTATAAACTACGTTACTATAATATAATATCTAAATTATTTTTAAGGATTTGGTTTTGTTGAGATTGATGGTAGGATAAAAGTTAGTGAAATAATGAAAAAAAATAGAAATTGAGAGTGAGATTATTTGTGTTGTGGGAAAACAAGTGAAAGTTTGTAAACGATGTATTAATTTTTTTTTTAATAAATTGATGAAAAACTTATTCATTTTGAAGAATTATAACACCTTTAAAAAATAAATGAAGATTCAAATCGACAACTATAAAACAAAAGTATAAATATTGTTCATTTAAAACCTAGTAACTTTTAACAACCTTAAACACATGTTTGAAATGGGAATTGTCAATTACATTCTCTAAATGTTGAGAAATGAACAAATTCCACAATATTTAATGAAACAATGACAAACATTGTGAATATGTAAACACTGTGATGGATGAGAACGCTTGAAAGAAAACTCATGCAATGAAAAAATGTTTGTATTTTTTTTTGTGAACTTCTATAATGTCTCATATGGTAAAAGAACCAACGAAAGACTATTTCTCTCCACTTTACTTGTTTATTAGAGCACTACAAACATTGAAAAAAAAATCATCCCTGTAAAACTTCTGTTATTAAAACTTATTTCTACCATACTATTCTTTTTTACTAAAAAATTACATAAACAATATTCTACATCTCTTCACATGTATTAACTATTTTTTTTTACGTAAAAATGAAGAATATATATATTAGTCTAAAATATAAAAATAACTTTTCCTGCTAACAAAATGAAAATTTTAAGACAGGAGAAAAGTGACATCAGGATTCAAAGTGAAGATGATGTTTTACGATAATGTAAACATCCATTTCAAATTTGACCCTTTATCCAATGCGCTGCGTCCGCTGGCGGTGATGTTCGCCTATGATTGCGTCCTATTCAAATGTCAAAACACTTCAAAGTCCACACCATCCACCTCATCTCCACCGTCCGATGAAGAATAACAAGATTATTCCTTACAAGGCCAATCACGTAATTTCCTTTCACTAACATATTTTAATAGTAATTATTTGACATGACATTTCTCCTCCATGAACCGTTATTCTTTGTGTGTACCTAAACTAACCTCTCTCTCTCTCTCTCTTCACTCACTCACGTTGCTGTTGTCGTTTCATAGCAACATAAAAGCAGAATCCACCTCAAACAGGGAGCTATCAATGCATCAAATGAAACCATTCATTTTTTTTGTTTCCTGAGATAAAATAAGTGGGGCTCACATGCATCTACAAAATTAACTAGGCTTTTGATCAAAGGACCAAGCTACACCCACTCCCCCTAAACTCAAATCTAGCCGTCAAAAAAAGCGGACCCACGCAGAGTTCAGACCTACCATACTTTCACACACGTCAATTAATATTGAACCATTAATGACCATTAAAACCGTTGAGATGGTTCGCGCCTGCATTAATCGTGATATGGCTCAGTACCACCGTAACAGCTGTTCTTTCATTAGTTCACGGGTCAACTAAACGAAGTAGTAGCTAGTGAATGTGAATTTGTGAATTTCTATTTCCAACTGCTGTGCAGGGTTGCTGCGAAGTGCAGACACGTTCGTGCGCTCTCTCTCTCTAGAAAAGTTGGAATGTGAGAGAGAGAGAAAAGAAGAAGAAAAGCGAAGATGGCGAACATAGCAACGTTTCGATTCCTTCTGCTGTGGACGCTTTTCCTCTGCTTTGCCTTTACTACGCGTGCAGCTC